GATAGATAGATAGATAGATAGATAGATAGATAGATAGATAGATAGATAGATAGATAGATAGATAGATAGATAGATAGATAGATAGATAGATAGATAGATAGATAGATAGATAGATAGATAGATAGATAGATAGATAGATAGATAGATAGATAGATAGATAGATAGATAGATAGATAGATAGATAGATAGATAGATAGAAGTTAGTTGTATAAGAATATTAAACAAAAACGAATTAATGTGCCTATAAATACAAATATTTGTTCAATGAAAACACTTTAACAAAAAACTAATTATTAAATTAGCAATTTTCCTTCTTTTTTAAGTATAAATAAAATAATTTTTTTAAAGTAACATTTTTCTTATAAATAATTAACTTTCCTTTTTAATAGATAATTTTGTGTTAAAAATTATAAATCGAAAATAACTTCTAATATACCAGCTGATCTGATTGTAAAATATGCCAATAAAAATAAGATTGTGGATCTTTTAATAAAAATATTCCATTATATAAAAATAAATTTTCTTTCTAAAATCTTAAATAAAGGAAATTTGAATTTTTTTTCTTTTTTAATTTTAATCGAATAAAGATTTTTTTTACTTTTAAATCCTGACCAAAGAGAATTTTAAATGTAAATTTTAATTTTAAAATGTAATGATAAACATGATACTAGAAATATTTAATTAAAATATTAATGATATTTAAAAACGAATTTTGAAAATAATAACCTTTAAAATAGTTAATATTAGCTAGAAAAATTTATTTGATAGTAATTTCATTTTCTAAATCCTATACAAAATATAATTAGATAGGATTATGTAATTTTAATTTTCTTTTCTAACACCCTAAAAAAAACTATAAAATAATATTTGATAGTTGTTTTCCTTTTAAAAAAAAACTAAACAAAAGAGATTTGTATCATATTTTTGTATCCTAACCAAAAGAGAATTGTAAGAAGTTATTTGATACTATATTTTACGAAAGATGAAACATGATAATAAATATTATTTAATTAAAAAGTGTAAAAATAATATTGATATGAACAGTAAAAATCATAATTGTGGAAAAAAAGTTAATAGTAACCAGAAATATGGGAGAATTGCCAAAACCAACCCAAATATTCATTTTAACCCTAAAGGTGTACCCCATATTCAATCAATTGTAAACCCAACCTAAACGGGTGTTAAAACTACTATTTAACCCTTATGAACAAACAAAAACGTGGAATATATTTTACGATTTTGTCCTTCGTAGGTCTACACTTTAAGAAATAAGTCTACAACTCGGTAGATTTACATTAACGTCTACTGTGTAAACTAATGTAGACTTATTACTTACTCTACATCTTAATTTAATCAAATAATTTAATTTTAAAAATGTAGAAAAAATGTTTTTGGTAAATTTTTTAATAAATCATCAATTTAAAGGTTAGTATGAGGTATATAAATTAATTTTTTTATAATTGATTTGGGAACTATGTGGTAGACAATGTTAATGGTTTAGCAACCAAAGGTTCTAACATGTTATGTCTTATAGAGTTAGATTCTTAGGGTAAGATTCTAGATTTAGAATTATTTTGTTTTAATGATTCAAAATTGCATATTTAATGTTGAGTAGTTTATATTTTGTATATATGATATTTGGTACAATGACTAAGATTTTTTTATAATCAATCAAACGTTAAGGGTTTGAGATTTGGGGTTTAGGGTTTGAGATTTCTGGTTTAGGGTATAGTAGATTTACAGTTAAGTCTACTTATATGTAGACGTCTATTTAAGTCTATGTTAATTTGTGTTTACCAAAATAAATTATTTTAAAATTAAAATTAACTAAGCGGGAAGTGAAAATGAATTTTGGAGCCTATTTTTCCATATTGGCGCCAATATTTAGGGTATAGTAGATTTACAGTAAAGTCTACTTATATGTAGACGTCTATTTCAGTATACGTTAATTTGTGTTTACCAAAATAAATTATTTTAAAATTAAAATTAACTAAGCGGAAAGTGAAAATGAATTTTGGAGCCTATGTTTTCATATTGGCGCCAATATTTAGGGTATAGTAGACTTACAGTAAAGTCTACTTATATGTAGACGTCTATTTCAGTCTACATTAACCAATTTAACCTAACCGAAAAATTACACAGTATATAATTATTTTTTTAGGATTTTCTGGTAAAAAGAATCCTAATCACGCCGTTTAGATCTGAGGCGGTTTAGGGGGGGATTTCCGGTGAGATTTCCGGCGAACCCTCTTCTACTCCGTTTTCACACCCAGCCACCTTCCTCTCGGAATCACCATTCACCACCACGACCATCGCCACTATTCTCTCCCATCCTTCAGCCATCTCCACCTTGTCTCCTCCTCATCTCCTCCTCGTCACCACCATTACTCTCTGCCTCGTCTCCTCCTCATCTCCACCATTACTTTCCGCCTTGTCTCCTCCTCATCTCCTCCTTGTCATCACCATTACTCTCCTCCCTGTCTCTCTCTCTATATGTGTTTATAAAGAGTCTCTGCATCTCTTATTGTTTTCATTAAAGTGTTCAATTTTTCGTTCTAAGGTTTGTATATGTTCAATTTGCTGTAAATTGAAATGTATATGTCGTTGACGAAAATTGATGAAGTGTTATGAGTTAATACATGTTTGTAGTGTACAAGCATGTGTTGTGTTTTATTGATTTCTCTGGCTCTTTTTGTTGCAGGTTGCTCCCAGAATTTTACTGCAGACTACGGATTTGTAGACTTTTACTGCAGACTACGGATTTGTAGACTGTTGTGAGGGGTAAAACTCACTCTCTAGTTTAGGTTAGGTTTAGATTGGGAAAAGATAATCGTGGGCTGAATCCTGTTGGAACTTGTACGAATGAATATGCTTGTTTATATTGATTTTTATGATAAAAAGAGTTTACAAGGATGATCTTGATGATCTAATCGAAAGAACAATGATTGATAGAGACGACTAAGAACAAAGTGTATTAGAGTCTTTTTTTATGTTGAATGAATCGAATCCCCCCTCTCTGATCTCTTCTCTTCTTTATATAGCTCTAGGTCACGTCCAACTTCTCCCGGCGAAGCCTCCGAGATTATCTCCATGAGTTGCGGGATTTGCAACAGCTTCCTCTTGACTAAGTCTTACACGTTCTCCTGGAGCTGTTTCTCGTTAGCTGTTTGTAAACGAGGTCCCGAGTCTTTTGTTCGTGACCTGTTTTTATCGATAGGTAACGATTTTATTTGATTCTCATTTGAGGAAAGGCTTCCTAATGGGCTCGTAATGCCTCGTAAACGGTTTCGATTATTCGGCTCATTAATTCAGCTAACGGGTTAAATTCGGGCCCAATAGTTGCCCCCAGCTTTCGAGATAAGATCTCTTTTCTCGGAAGCTACAGCGTAACCGCCTGACCTCTTGTTCCTCGAGATAATGATTACACTCGAAGATTCGCGTGACCTTAATTCTACGGCCTGGATTTCGTTTGGTTAAATTAACGGTAGGGATTAATATATTTTGAATAATTTCAATCCCGATTTTCGAGGCTGGACGTGATATAAAGCTGCGGTTATTAACTGCGCTGTTTCTCCACCACCCCACGTCTCGATTTGATTCCCCAGGTAACTGTTCACTTTCTTCTTTAATTTACTGCGGTTATATTTGTTCCCGTTAAT